GAGAGAGAGAGAGAGAGAGAGAGAGAGAGAGAGAGAGAGAGAGAGAGAGAGAGAGAGAGAGAGAGAGAGAGAGGGCATTGGTGCGGAATTGCAATTTTTTTTTTCCCCCCTACTCTTGGTCCCCGCTCTTGCGGCGGGCAGACGTCTTGTTACTTGTAATGGTTGCAAGCACACGCACTCGCCCACCCATGCACCCACGCGCACATGCAATCTCACACAGAAACAAACACAAGAAAAGGGGAAAGAGACTAACGAGCTTAGCTCAGTTGGTACACCCATGAACTGTTGAGGTACACCCAAGTTGGAAACCTGATGAACCTAGATGAATGGAATGTAAAAAAGAAAAAAGAGAAAGAGGAAAAAAGGAGAGCTTGATGCAGATCATACCCGGTCAATTAGGTCTCGGAATCTTCGGCAGACCGCAGCACAGCGCAGGACAGTCTTCGCGTCGCCCACGCAACCCAGAATGTCCAAGATTAGCGCATCCGGCAGCGAGTTGATGATGTCAGCACCAACAGCATTCTTTGATCCCGTAGTCAGGCGTCGCCTTCGCCGTACGGCCCGCTGAGGCCAGCAACCCTTGCCTCCGGAGGTCAGGCAAAGCCGAGCAATGCTGCGCCTGACACCTCCCATGATAGTGATGATGGATTACTGTTATGGCAGCAGAAACGTGAACCTGGAAGAGACCAAAAATATTATTGGAAAAAAAAAACAGGAAAGCGATGACCAAATGAGAATAAATTTTAAATTACAAAAACGAATATCGCAAGCTGAAGCACAACGAAGAAGGTTGAAATTTTTAAGGGGGGAAAAAAAAAAAATTGGATTATGTCAGAGAGGGTCCGAGTTCCGTAAGGCAGGAACTAAGGGACGTACTCACACTAGCACTTTCCTACATGCATCTGACCACAATTACGGCTGGATGTGGATGAATCTGACCTCAATCACGTCCAGGGCTGAGTCGAAGAAGTCCTAGTGTGAGTCTGCCCTAATTTGCACGACTTGGGTAGCATCATCATCAGTTTCATCTGCCTTTCCCCACAACAACAAACATACCATAATCAATCAATCAATAAATCAATCAACCAACCAATCAATCAATCAATCAATCAATCAATGAGCAAATAGACTAAATATCCAGGCTGTTTTTCCATGCACCCAGGCACAGAGGTTGTGCCCGCACGCAGGCCCAGCCACCAGGCGGGCAGGATCCCTAAGCGGGGTCCCGAGCAACACTAGTGCAAAATATTAAAAGCAGAAGCAAAAAATTCTGGAAGAGTGGCAATGGATTCAATGCAAACATTGAAAGAAAAAAAAAAAGGGCGACGGGCTTGAGACATTATGATCGGATTGACCAGCACCAGGTAATTCTGAATTATATAGCCCGTGGGATTCAGACGCGAAGCATCTGCTCTTCAAACTTTATGTCTAATCTTCGGTGCACAGCAAGCGCACAGCAATCACAGTGTGTTTTTGTGTGTTTTCCCTTATCCCTTACCTTACTATCCTTAAGTGAATAGCGGGTCTCACGTCACGCTCCCGTGAGACCCATCTCTCACTGTTGGGAAAAACGTCGGGACTGGCGGCGGGGGGCCCAAGAAAAGGCATTGGGACTTGCGGGGGCGGGCCGGAGGGAAGGCGGGGGCGGGCTCGGGTTGGGCAGCCCGATAGAAGTTTCGGGACGGGTCTAGGAGATATCGTTGGAGTGCTCTCGGCCGTTGAGATTGGTGGGCGGGAGGGTTGGACGGATGGATAGACGTTTCGGGATGCGCACGAGAGAGATCTTCGGAGTGGTCTGGGGCGAAGGCGGGCCCGAACGAAGACTTGTGGCGTTGGTCGACGTGCATGCATGCTGTGACGTGCCGCTTCGCCGTGCATGGTTTGTGCCCGCTGCGCACTTCGCCGTGCTCGATGTGCATGCTTCGCGCCCGCACATTCATGGAGAGAGAGAGAGAGAGAGAGAGAGAGAGAGAGAGAGAGAGAGAGAGAGAGAGAGAGAGAGAGAGAGAGA